TCATTACATCTCAAAATTTGTTATTTTGACAAATTGATATGATAAGAAATTTTTTAAAAAGCGTGGTTAAGTTCATGTTATTCTCTTCAATCCTTAATTCCTTATCCATACCACATACCAAACCAAACACATCCAACAAACTCTACATTTCATGAAAATTATACAAGAATTGCCATATATGGAATTGGGCAAGTACCTGGCCCCTGTTGTTTGAACAGAGAAAGCCAAACCCAAACTCCAATTGGTATGTTTTTCAAGAAAAGCACATGCAAGTACCTGTGCTTCAATCTCCTTCACTGTACTGTTTGCGTATAATATCCAGTATTTTAGCACTACGTACACCAATCTGGATCTCTTTCATGAGAAATGTATTTGAAATTTTATTAAATCCGATTGGTAGCTCAACAAATCTCCTTCACTGTATATACTATACTAGACTAGAGGCATTAAATTAAAGAAATATAATACTCGCTAGCTAGGGTTGTAATCCTAATCTTCCAAGATGACGACACAGACCTACCGTGTCTATATGCCTCTATATCTATATGCAGCACCAAAATGAGTGTAGTTCCAAGGGAATCTACTACTTATGCCCAATACCGATCATTGAAACCTGCCAAATTAAACACACATCGACAAGGATGGCGTGATCAACTTGAATTCCAAAGCAATCTATCTACTACTTCTACTTGTATGTATAATGTATTGTGTGAATATAAATGTAAATGTATTACTTACAATGTTATTTTGTGGAAGCCTCCAATACAATCCCTGCACAACAATTGGTATTATGTTGCAGGACACCAGAACATAAATCAGTAATGCATTCATTCCCATCCACTCCAGCAAACTTGTTAAGTGTCTACATCCATACACATCAACCTGTGAATTAAGGAAAGGAAACTGCTTAGCGGATTGGATGAATAAATTTCAATTAACTTCAACCCTGGCCTGCCTCTCCAAACTTTCTCAGAATATTATGTCTACAGATTATGATATCTAACCATTATATATGCTCCAGCGAAGACAACTCCAGCAGTACCAGCAGTGACACATGTGTAACTGAAGCTGTATAATACCTTGTTTATATGCATCCCTATAAGGAGACAGGTAGAGTAAATACTGCTCTTTTAACTATAAATAAACTGTTGACTCATTCTATTTCTCACTAGTACATAAATTCAAAAGACAAAGCCTTACCAAAGAAGTTGCATGTTACCCCTAACAGCAGGAGACAACATGATGGTATTATCCATTGCAATATTCTAGTTTTATGATCCTGTTCCAATTGATTTACGTAAGGCAAATCAGAAAGGCAGTATCCCAAACGATTAAATTCAACATTGAAAACTGATTTCTTTTTTTTTTTTACCTTGAAATGGATTATAACATGTCCAAAATGCACACCAACAAAGCAAGTTACAATCGCCATCAATGAGCTACAATAATTGTGAATGATTTATATAATTAACAACCTAGGAAACAGAATAGCAGAAAAAGTAATAAAAAAAAAAAAAATTGAAAACAAAAAAATTCCCCTTAGGTAATAGGGTTTAACATTTGGTAATTGAGTTAATACCTAAAACGGTCCCTTACTATACTAACTTTTCCATTTTGGTCTTCAACTTCTAATTTTTCCCAACAAAGCCCTTAACTATGAAATTCTACCAATTTTAGTCCTCATGTTAAACAGCTGTCAAATCTGATATGCTTTCTGGTAACCAGGCACATTCAAAGTATTAATATTTTTTTCAAAGTTAATCTCCTGGACAAGAGATGAATCCTCCTTCAGTTATAGCTGCCACGGTAGCCTTAAAAAAAGTAATATTCTGAAGTTCAGAGAAAGGGGAAAGCATGGAAATTACTTAATTGCCCTTGGATTTGACAGTTGTTTAAATGAGTTATTAACGAATGACTAAAATAAGTAGAAGTTTCATAGTTAAGGACTTTATAAGTCTAAATTAGAAGTTGAGAATTGAAATGGTAAAACCAATATAGTCAAGGAACTATATTGAGAATTAACTCTTTGGTTATTCCACAGCAAAATGCAAAGCAAGGAACTATATTGAGAATTAACTCTTTGCCCCTTCAATGTTATAATCCCACCCCTTACCAAAGAACAAAATATATCAAAACAAGATAATTAGCACATAAAGTTTGCAGTCCTGGCAATATCAAGGACAAATAATGACAAACCTCAAAAGTCCTTCGGGATCAAAGGGGGCTTGACACCACGAAGGAGCATCTATAGGAAGTGGACCATAATCTGGAGAATTGACACTACACTCCTGTCAAAGAAAGATATCCAATTTAAATCAAAAGGGCTGTTGAAAATAATTGACCTATAGTCTCAACAAAGAAGAATACTTTTGTTCGTGCATATATTGGCCTTCTATATAAGTGTTGAATACCCAAAACTGTACGATCAACCATTCCAGCAGCATTGCATGCAGGTCCTGTATCACCTCGCACACCACATTTCACCTTGAAAGGCAAAGAATGCTGCTAAGGCTATTTGAAATATTAATATCAAAAGCAGATATCTCATATCAGAAACTTAACAGAATTAAACTTAAGAACTACTCATAGATACCAATAAAGAACTTACTGAGAGTATCTTTGTATCAGAAGACACCATCTCTGCTGGAATCTGGTACTCCCAATCAGGAACATAAAGACCGTACAACAAAGAGAGGTATATGGCAATAAGCACAAAAGCCATGGCCCTGTACAGAATCCCGTCAGGTGGAAAAGGGCAGATAGGCATGCATTTTGGATATTAATGAATTTTGAGACAATTTATAAACATCGCAAAAATGCCAGCTGTAGCAAAAGAACCTTTTAACAAGAGCACAAGCAGTTGTACTCTCCAGCCAAATTATCCCCAAATCCCCACATCATTCAATGAACTCTAAATGCAAATACACTGAGTTCAAAAATAAAATGCAAATACCTGACTTGTTTGAGCACAAATATACCATCATCCAATAAACATGCTACAAGATATTATGTACTTGAGGGTAATATGCTACCTTCTTTCTTCTTTTTCCCATCAAATGACTTTATATTTAGTGAAAAGAGTTGCTAAACATTCTAGTCAGCTGTCAATGGAAACTATGAAATATCTTCCATCCTCTTTGAACAATTTACCAGTAAATTGTTTACATGTTGAATTTGTTAGACATGTTTTAATAGGACTATAGGAGGTAGAGTGTTAGATTTTGCAAGTAGTTTCTACGCTAGATGATTAGGGTGAGGGGAACTACAAGGAGTTAGTGGAGGGGAATGGTGGGTGACAATCAACCTGCTGCACAGATACAAAATCAATCAACCTTTTAAGTTTTACACAAACATCATGCAGTGCTACTCCAGTTGGAGGTAGAAAGATGAGCACAGGTGCATCAGTAAATTACTCAGTCATCTTTCCGCTAAAGGTTATGATCTTCCAACTCCTCTTGATCTTAAGGATCATTTGCTAAGGATGGCACTAACTGGTAGTCCAGTACAGTAGGGTCAAATAGCTTTACGAGCTGACTCTGTCTCATACCTCATCCTGTGGCTACTTCTTTGATCTAATGATCTAAATTCATGGCATGACAAAACTATTGAACTTATAGATCAATTATACCTAGATGGTTCTATAATCAGTTTCAAATCCAAATTACCCAATTTTTCAGCAAGGTGAAAATCTAGTTTTGGAAAAAGAATGAACCAGAACTCACCACTGGTACTGGTATCTCTTTAACAAAGATAATCCTGAATCAACCTTGCAGTCATTCTTGAGCCAAATTTCAGAAATAGCGGTCACAAAATATGCTATAGCAATTCTCTGCAAGAATAATTATAGTGATCTAATCAGCCAGACAGAAACACAAGCAAAATGAGCATAATATAGAATGCTCATTCTTATTGAATGCATATTGTTCACAATGTATGATAATTTAATTGCCAAATACATTACCCTGCATATGCTAGCAAAGGAAAAACAAAGTAATATTAATTCAGACCTGCAAGACACCTGTCCATCTGATTTGTGTGATGTCCACTCCGTAAGTTAGATTGTTGAGTCCATGAAAGTAGCCTCCTGCAAGAAGTTGGAATAAGAAGAGTACAAGTGCAACAAATTCAATAATCAATTGTAATATGTTGCATTGGCTATCAAACAAAATGCTAAAGAAAAGTAGGTCAACAATGCGATAAACAAGCTCCTACCTTGAAAACACATTTCTAATAACTTTAGATACATACTTCTCCAGAAAAAATAAATAAATAAATAAAAATATTTTTTTAAATGGCCATGATATTAATTGCTTAAAGAAGTATACCTTGGAGAAAGACTCCAATAATCAACAGCTTAAGTGCCCGAAATATTGCCTTTCCAGTTGCAGCCGTTCTGTTAGATAGGTTCTGTAGCCCAATAACAACTGAAGTAAGCCTAATATTTTTGGAGCTATATGTAGTGATGTTTCACTAGAACAGAGAACACAGAATAGTATAAACACAAGATAAGAGCCTAAAGCAAGATGATATACAGCCTCCTAACCTTGATTTGCGAGTAGTGACCCACATTGATAGTTTAGAGTTAAAAAAAAAAAAAAAAAAAAAAAAAAAAAAAAAAAAAAAAAAAAAAAGGAATGGCAATTCTTGATGTAGGTGTTTGCATTTCTGTCCAGGCAGTTTCCTAAAGTAAAGAAAGTTGTGACATGAAGTAATGGAATGCATAAGAAAGAGCAGAGTACCTTGTATGCAAGTCCAAGTGATAGTCCTACAATAAAAAGAAAAAATGGCATAACGATGTCTGCCAGGGTTAAACCATTCCAAGGTGAATGATTGATAGAAGGGAAAATTCCACCCGCATCTTCCACAAGTATCATTAACTGCAACACAAAACAGAGCACATGAGAGAAAGGCAAATAAGAGCAATGACATATCTCCATGTATTTGAGGCAGAGTAAAGGGTCCATGTAGTGAAAAGAACGTGGCCCTTTGAAGGAGGTTTGGTTTGAATGATGTTGTGGCAACTCAACATAATCATGAATTCACTTGAAGCTTTGCTCCCAAATTTATGTAATGCATACCAAAGCAAAGCAATTTAATTGGATTTGAATTACCCAATTTACTGGGACAAGTGATTTGGTAGAAGCGAATGTGTATGTGAAAAGAGAAAGCAAGGCAGGGGACTGATTGTAAAGGTATAAATTTGGGTTATCCATGATCAAGCAAGAGAAGAGAATGTAAGGGCAGAAGTGATGATTGAGGCATAGAGTTGGAAGGATAAAGTGGGGAAAATGCAGTGGGTTGGCCCAAAATAAAAAACAAAAGAGAGAGAGAGAGAGAGAGAGAGAGAGTGGGCAAGGAAAGTAGGAAAGAAATAAACATAATTGCAGAAAAAGTAATGTCATGATGAAACAAAACATTGTGGAGAAGAAAGAGAGAGAGAGAGAGAGAGAGTTACCGCAACTGCAATCCCGCGAAAAACGTCAAGGGAGAGAAGGCGGGGGGCAGGGTTGGTGGATAGGGGAGAGGGAACAGCAGACTTGGGGCTGAGGTGAGCATGATGAGTGTGGGCGGGTGGTTCAATCTGCAGGGAGAAGTAGTGGGGCAGATCGGAGGTTGGGGCAGTGCGGTTGTTGAAATGATGATCGCGGCGAAGATGTTGGGTGATGAGCTGATAGGGATAGGAACCCATTTGCTACTTTGGATTTGGTGCCTGCCTGGTAGTGGTGGATCTGCCCGGAATAACACAATGCGTATGATGAGCGAGCAAGCACAGCACTAATGGATTGATTCATTCACCACCATCTTCTTGCAAAGCAAAGCAAAGTGGAGTGGAATTGATCGAACGTAGAAATTAATTAAATTGGCAGACTTGCAACTCCACCGCCAACTTATTTCTTTTCAGCAACGTAACCATAAAACAGCAGCCTGATTATTGAGTCAGACACACAATATAATATTATTTTATTTTATTTTATAAATTATAAATAAGCACACACTGCAGCTACCTTAATTCTCTCTTCTCTTCTATTCGTCTACACATGCGCGCGCGCACACACACATATATATATATATATATATATATATATATAACGGGGATGGGGACAGGGACGCTGCCTCTCCAATCTCCATTGCTGCCCGCCCTACACCAATTACCATTTACCCACCCAACGCCATGGCAGCAGGTCGCCATAAAAAAATTAAAATAAAAAATAAATAAAAAAAAGTTGTACAACATACTCCTTATTTTCTCTTTATTTTTACTCTTTAATATTAAAATGTCAATATTAAAATTTTGTGAGTAAATTTTAAAAGTAAGAAAAGTATTTTTCGTCACAAAAAGGGGCACACCAACATTCAGAATATGCCATCATGCTCATGCCATTCTTCCACATTTACTTTGAGGGACTCACTCATTTTGTTACTAGTACTATTGATGCAAAGATAATTTGGCGATTCTTTGATGCACTTGTATAATCTACCATGATATTCTAAAATGAATAATGTTCAAATAGATCACTAAGTTGAATTAAAAAAAAATTACAATTAAATTCTTGAATCATTTAAAATTATACAATTAAACAGAAAAAATTGTACAATTAAACAGAAATTGATATTTTGATTGGTGATTGCTAACGTAACAGTTATTTTTTAAAATAATTTTAATTTAAAAAAAAAAAACAAACAAACAAACAAAACAAACCTAGCACCCAAGTCTTAATTTTAAATTTAAAATGATTTTATAAATTTTTTAAAAATAATTTTTTTAATAAATTTTTTGTCACACTAGTAATGACCGGTCAAATAAGTCAATTTCAAAAATTTTTTAAATACTCATGATTCATTACAAGGTAGAAGTTCGATCCTATGATTACTAATTTAGAATAATACATAGGTGTCATCTTGCTACATAGTATTTGACATCAATTTCATTTTAATTGCACAATTTTAGATGATTTAGAGATTCAATTGTAATTTTTTTCAAGTTTAATAACTTAATTAAATATTTATGTGTAATTCAATAGCCTATTTGAGTATTATTCATATATTCTAAAACTATTTTCTTTCCGGTGAACAAAATCTACAATTATTTAGGAAAAAAAAAAGATTACGCTTTATTTTTGGTACTGTGAATTTGTCTGCAGAGGGCAGGAATAATGATATGTGTAACTTTGCTTTTTAGCATTCTTTGGTGTGCGATCCACGTACGTAGGCGAAACGACGAATCAATTAAAGATGACTGAAATTAAAGGGAAAGATTATATTATGAAATCATGTAAATCTATAACCGACCACAACCTCGTGCCATAAAAGGTAGCCTTCTTCCTATATTCTTTCCCACTACACTTGCCAAATTGTCAACCGTCAACACCGATATCAATATCAGTCAGTATACGAGAATGAACAATGACATTCATACTCCGATCCTGCATGTAGCCTGTAGGCCACCCGAATCCAATTCCTTCCCATTTCTGTTAAACAATTCTATCTGTTCAAAAGAACACTTCCTTTTTGTTGTAACATTAATTCTCCATTAAAAAAAACGTAAAAAAAAAAAAATTAAGAATTAAAAATTATTCAATAAATACTAGAAAACATCGTAAAAGCATTATGAGTAGTTATAATTCGGTGAGCATGTTTGTTTAACTAATATTCTAGGATTGACTTGATCAAAACTTATGTAATCATGCAAAAAAATTAACATAAAAAATTATTATATATGATGGGGTGTGAACTCCACGGGCTAGAAGCCCAAGAGATTGGACCTAAGAATGGACTTGTCACGAATTGGCACAAGAAGATAAAGGGAGATAAGTTGATGGGCTTTGAACATATTTTCGAAAAGCACGGACGAGTGAAGGAGCCAAGCCCCGGAGGTCGGCATGAACATCAGTCGGAACTGACCCGGGTCGGCCCGGCGGGTGACCGTTGCCCCTTTAAGAGTGTCATTTAATATGAGTCAATTTGGTCGTTGGGGGAGGTCCAGTAACGGCGACCCAACGGCCCTTAACTTTAATAGCTTCATTATTCGTATTTTTGTTTGTATTTAAATTAGCAAGGGGCGGCCACCTATAAAGAGACCCCCTTGGAAAGTGTAGAGGCAAGCCTTCGGAACCGAAAAAGCCACCGGAAAGTTGACACAGAATCACTAAGCAGACATAAGCACCATTCATAGCTATCTTTTTCGCAATAGTCATCTACATTTTACTTTCCGATGAATCCACCAACCACGGTTGTTGTGACAACCCAAAATATTAATCCCAAATTTCTATTTTATAAAGTTTCGAAATAAAATTATTTTATTTCTACTATTATTTATTTCCTAAAACTTTGAACCAAAAGTCTATTTGAGACGAAACCGTATTTATTCATATCAGTTTTCTAGCATAAATGATTTAATTCTTGAGCCCAAATGTATTTATTCTAATACTCCAAATGTATTTCTAGCCCAATCTTCTAACTCATTTAATCTTAGTTATTTAGCCCAATCATTTTGGGCAATTTATATCCTACACCACGGCGCGTGTTGCACTGTGTGCCCAGATGCAAAACGACGTCGTTTTAAAATTTTTTTTTTTTTTGAAATTTCTCGCCCCAGTGAATGACAGTAATTTTTTCCGTAAAAAAAAACCGTTGTTCAAAAATGTACATAATGTTATACTAGAATACACATAATTGTATACATGAATGTACATAATTATATACTACATGCCGTCGCTAACAATAACGTACGTACTATACCTATACGTCATTATTACCTATCGATTTACTACTCAATCAATTCATCAATACCTAGCTACTCTGAGTATGTACTCTCATTCATGCATTATATATAGAGTTAATTCCAGCAATGGTCCTCCGACTATTGCGATTTTCCAAAATTAATCCTTAATTTTTAATTTGGACAAAAAAGACACTTGACTTTCTAAATCGTTCCACCAAAGGTCCTTCCGTCCAATATCAGTTTGTTGGCCGTTAGTTTAAGGGGCAAATTTGTATATTCAGTATATTGCCTCTTTTCCTTTTGGTCTTTCACCCCGTTTCAAATCTCCGCAGGGAAAACCGCTTTTAGCTCTAAAGCGGTTTTCCGAAGCTCCGGTTAGATCCGAGCCGTCGGGTTCCTCCTTACCTGGTTGCTGTTTTCTTACACCTTTTTTCTTAAAGGTTGAACATTGGGTTGTGAAGGTTGATCATGGCTGGAGAGAAGATAGTGGAGAAATCCGAAGCTGTCACGGCTGGATTGAAGTCTGATTCATCTACAAAATTGATCAACAAAGATATGGGCACTGTTAAAGATGGAAAAGCACCTGATTCAATATCTCCCATTCCTTCAATGGTCGGTACTGAGACCGGTGTCAATGGTGGTGTTGATCAAGGAGCAGTTCCTGAACAAGGTTCATACTATTCGCTGGCTAGCTGTTGTGATTATTACTATCCAGGTTATAATGGGAATTATAACAATGGTCAGAGCGTGGCATCGGATAATGGATTTTTCCTCTACTATTTGCCTGGCTATACTCCGTATACTACTGGGTTTATTGGTTCTGACGGGAAGCAACAACCCTACACAACGTCCGGATACCTTCAGCAGCCTGTATCGTATGGTTCGGATGGCGTGCCTTGTTATTCATGGTGTTTTACAAATGGCGATCTAACATATGGCACAGATTCTAAATCTCGGAATTTTAAATCCATGGCTGGCTCTAATGGCTCGGAAGTCCAATGGTTTCAACTCTTCAAAGACAAACAACGGTCTATCAAATATGATGTTTGGTCAAGCACTCCAAACGGCAAAAAAAAAATTGGAGAATGCTTTTGGTGATGCTGAAGGAAAAGCAAGTGAGACAAGCACAGAATGTCCAGTATTCCTCTTCTTTTCTGTAAATGGGAGTGGACAATTTTTGGGTGTAGCAGAGATGACAGGGCAGGTGGATGTCCAGTATTCCTCTTGTTGTTGTTCAGTTTTATGAATTACCATGTTTATGACCAAAAAATCAGATGAAAAGAGAGATGACGACTACTTGCGGACGGCTAAGAAGAAGAACAATGGGAAGAAGACGATGGAGGAGTTGCGGAAAGAGTGGTTAGAGAGGGAGAAACGAGAGAAACAGAGAGAAAGAACTCTACTGAAGGAGAAAAGCCGCAGAGATGGAGGGCTACTGAATAGACAAATTTGTCCCTTAAATTAATGGCCAACAAACTGATATTGGACGGAAGGACCTTTGGTGGAATGATTTAGAAAGTCAAGTGTCTTTTTCGTCCAAATTAAAAATTAAGGACCAATTTTAGAAAATCACAATAGTCAGAGGACCATTGCCGGAATTAACTCATTATATATATATATATATATATATATATATATATATATATATATATATTATATGCATGCATCTCTAGACTCTAGCTACCTAGCTAGCTTATACCTAACTACCTAGCGCAAATTATGTTGTGCAACTGAATGCACCTTGCAAGGTGCATACGGTTGTAAAACGGCGCCGTTTTGGTTAAAAAAATGTGCGTCCCACTTAAAGAAGAAATCAGGTTCGATTCCCGGCAATAGCATTTTTATATATCCAGAAATTCATAACTATATATCCACAAATTCATAACTATATATCCACAGTGAATGAATGAAGTAAAAACCCACGAGTTAATTCCAACAATGGTTCCCTGACTATAGTGATTTTTCAAATTTAGTCCTCGTCTTTTAATTTGGACGAATTAAACCCTTGACTATCAAAATCCTTCCACCATTAGTCCTTATGTTAATGCTATTGCCGAGAATCGAACCTGATTTTTGTTTTTAAGTGGGACGCGCGTTTTTAGTCAAAACGACATCGTTTTGCATCGTATGCACCATGCGCATGGTACATTCGGTTGCACAGCATAACTATTCACTACCTAGCGGGCCTGTTGGGCCTAGGAGGCCGACAAAAGGCCAAGTCTAACACCCAGGCCAGCATCTCATAAATGTTGCGTTGTGACTATATATCCTAACTATATATAGTAGCTTTAATTTTGGAGAAAGTAGTAAGCCCTTGATCCTAACGTGTATATAATATGCAGGTTGATGTTGAAGGAAGCGTGGAATTTATGAATGACCTGATCATCAAAATATGGAATCCCAATAATTCTGATCCTGAGAAAAAATTGGGCAAATGCCTGCACGTGCTGGATTTGTATCGGAAGAACTTGCTTTGGGAGCAGGACAAGTACTACCGTAAGCGGCAGAAGAATGTGAATAAAATGAGAGGAGCTCGAGAAGCTGCCCGTCGTCGTCGTGGTCACAAAGCTAGAGGCGGCGATGACCAGATTATCCGATCCGCGACGGAGCTTTACGAAGCGGGCATCCGATTCAAGAAGAGCAAAACGCAAAGCCTTGCTGACATCTCATTCAAGCATGGAGTACTGAAGCTTCCTCCCATTACGGTGGACGATACCAGCGAATCCATGTTCCTAAACCTAATAGCTTTCGAGAGATCCCACTTTGGGGCGGGAAACGAGGTCACCTCATACATCTCTTTCATGGATAACATCATTGACAGCAGCAAGGATGTTAGCCTCCTCCACTCTTCGGGAATAATCCAAAACGCGATTGGAAGTGACAAAGCGGTAGCCAAATTGTTCAACTCCCTGTCCAAAGATACAACCATGGATCCAGAGAGCAGCCTGGATTTAGTCCAGAATAAGGTGAGTGAGTACTGCCAGAAACCATGGAACGAGTGGCGAGCAAATCTCATCCATACATACTTCAGGAGTCCATGGGCTATACTCTCCGTCATTGCTGCCATTTTCCTCTTCGCCCTCACCATTGTTCAGACCGTCTACACTGTTTTACCCTACTACAACCACTCCAATTCTTAAACGTACTGCAACCAACAAACGCTAGCATAGCTGGAACGTACCACCTGAACTGAGCTGATGACTGATGAGTGTGTTTTTTTTTCTTTGAGTGTGTGCGTGTTTTTTTCTTTGAGTGTGTGGTTAAGTTCATGTTATTCTCTTCAATCCTTATCCATACCACATATCCAACAAACTCTACATTTCATGAAAATTAGAACAGAGAAAGCCAAACCCAATCTCCAATATAATTGGTATGTTTTTCAAGAAAAGCACATGCTTCAATCTCCTTCAGTGTACTGTTTGCGTATAATATCCAGTCCATGCCAGTATTTTACCACTACACCAATCTGGATCTCTTTCATGAGAAATGTATTTGAAATTTTATTAAATCCGATTGGTAGCTCAACAAATCTCCTTCACTGTATATACTAGACTAGACTAGAGGCATTAAATTAAAGAAATATAATACTCTGCTAGCTAGGGTTGTAATCCTAATCTTACAAGATGACGACACAGATCTACCGTGTCTATATCCAAAATGAGAGTAGTTCCAAGGGAATCCACTACTTATGCCCACTACCGATCATCGAAACCTGCCAAACACACATTGACATGGATGGCGTGATCAACTTGAATTCCAAAGCAATCTATCTACTACTTCTACATACTTGTATGTATGTAAATGTATTACTTACAATGTTATTTTCTGGAAGCCTCCAATACAATCCCTGCACAATAATCGGTATTATGTTGCAGGACACCAGAACATAAATCAGTAATGCATTCATTCCCATCCACTCCAGCAAACTTGTTAAGTGTCTACATCCATACACATCAACCTGTGAATTAAGGAAAGGAAACTGCTTAGCGGATTGGATGAATAAATTTCAATTAACTTCAACCCTGGCCTGCCTCTCCAAACTTTCTCACAATATTATGTCTACAGATTATGATATCTAACCATTATATATGCTCCAGCGAAGACAACTCCAGCAGTACCAGCAGTGACACATGTGTAACTGAAGCTGTATAATACCTTGTTTATATGCATCCCTATAAGGGGACAGGTAGAGTAAATACTGCTCTTTTAACTATAAACTGTTGACTCATTCTATTTCTCACTAGTACATAAATTCAAAAGACAAAGCCTTACCAAAGAAGTTGCATGTTACCCCTAACAGCAGGAGACAACATGATGGTATTATCCATTGCAATATTCTAGTTTTATGATCCTGTTCCAATTCATTTACGTAAGGCAAATCAGAAAGGCAGTATCCCAAACGACTAAATTCAACATTGAAAACTGATTTTATTTTTATTTTTATTTTTATTTTTATTTTACCTTGAAATGGATTATAACATGTCCAAAATGCACACCAACAAAGCAAGTTACAATCGCCATCAAATTAGGGATGGCAATGTGCCCCGTCCCCGTTGGGGATCCCCGTCCCCTACGGGGACGGGGACGGGGACTTTTTTAAAATCTCCGCCGGGGACGGGGGCGGGGATGGGGATCCCGCCTCGTCCCCGACAATTAATTAATAATATATATATATAGATTTCGGATCTGGTGAGGTCCTAGGAGTTATGTGAGATCGTGAGATTCGATCCAGAGCGTTTATTTTTTATTTTTAATGGTTGTGATCTAAGTGTGAGATCATGGGTAATTCATATGCCGTGTAATATAATGGGGGTACGCTCGTAATTAGCCTATTGCATTAATTAATTGCCGTTTTGAAGTAGATTTGGCGTTCATTATTTTCCTTACGCAACATCTTTATTTCGAGTTAAGGAGTTTTCCTCGGTAGCGTCGCACTTCAGAAACTTCCGGCAGCCGTCTCATTCTCTCGCTGCGTCGTCGTTGCTCCTGTTCCTCCATGGACGGCTCCTCAACCACTGCTGGAAATTTTTAATTTTCTGACCACTTTTCCGATCACCAAGAAAAATGGTCGGAAAAAATGCTATTTTTTCACTTTTCCGTCAAAAAAGCATACTGGACGGAAAAGTGGTTTGAAATTCCGACCACATTCCCCTCGGTATTTTTTAAAGAACGGTAGCTAAGTATGTCTACTTTTACTCTCTCAACTTTAATTTCTTTTATTTACAGCTGTTCACCTCTCACTTCTCTTCACCTCTTCACACTTCACCTCTCAGGCTCTCACGCCTCTCTCTTCGCCTCTTCAACACTTCTCCTCCGCCTGCCTAAAGAACGACGACGGCGCAGCGGTGCTAATGGATGACGCCGCCCACCTCTCTTCTCCAATCTATCGTCCGGCGAACCGTGTTAGATCAGGAACGCTTCTTCGCCTTGGGATCATCGCATCCTCGTCCAGATCTGGAACCGCTTCTTCTGGTCGCCAACAGCTTCGAGAGACGATAAACGCCACTCGAATGCTCGCCTTTCGACCTCAGGTACCCCTTCCGGCTGCTTGTTCTCCTTAAATTCTGACTGTATCTGTGATGTATGTATGATGCCCGTGTATCTGGTAGAGATATCGTGATATAGGGTTTTGTAAGCTCTGCTGCTAACCGAATTACGAGCATGAAGTTTTTTAATTGTTCATAAAGTAACTTTTGGTGTTGGACCTCTATTGAGATTATGGAATAGTATGCCAGTGTAATTTGAGCTGGTGATTCCTGTATTTTGTTTCTCATTCAAGATATGAAGCTTAGATTACATGTTTATTTGTGGATTTATAATGTTGATTGTGATATGCATATTTGTAATTGATGAGTTTTCAGAATTTTTTTTATTGTTCTTGATTTTTTTGCAGCCCCGAGAATAAGTGCATCTCTATCAGAAGACAATATGAAGGTAATTGGTATTCTTCTGGGTAGATGAGGGGTGAAGACTCTGTGTTTTTATGCATCATATCATGTTGTATATGTGTTTAATTGGCAAAACTCATTTTATGACATATATTTGGCCCCAGGAATTAGATATGGAGTGATAAATTGAATTACAATGATAAACTGAATGATAATGAGCTTTTTTTTTTTTTCTTTTTTGTTTGTTTGTTTGTGCAAGCATAAGGCGAGTACCTTATATTGAAAATATGGTGTCGATTTACTAAAGCTTGGATGCTGCATTTGTTGCCAATGTCTCTTTGTCATTGTCTTCAGGTAATGATATGCATTTTATCCTCATAGGATCTTTTTTACTATAAACATGATTATGTAATTATGATCTGTTTATTGATGTTTTGTTGGATTTAATTGTGCATTACTTGCCTTTGGAGCAATCTGTTAACTGTACCAGCTGCAGGAAGATCATTGGAGCAGTCTCCTGTCTGTTAAAGATTCTCAACAAGTCAATTCAGTTGTCAATGTGAGTTTCTTGTTTGCCCATTCATTTACCTAACAATTTTCAACATGTTGTGTGTAATGTAAGTTTCATCTCTGTTTTCATAGTTTTTTTGTGTGTTATATTACTGTGATCTTTTTGGTGCCATGTACTATGAACTACTTAAAGCCATGGTGGTGTTTATTAACAGTTTAGGTTATATATTTGTTGTGAGTAAAGAGTATTCCTTTTGAATGATAGTAGTCCTGATTGGGTTGGGGCTGGCAATGGTGATGGGCTTAGCTATCTACTTGCTTCTTTGGACAATCGAATACCGCATCACTACTGACGAGACCGAACTAATCAGGTATAACCCTTTCGTTCCTCTTCTGTTTTCTGTGAATTAAATAACATTCGATCAAGAACTTCATTTGGATTGTGTATAGAATCAAGAATGGATGAAAGTTGATTTGTGGTATCTATAATACGTTGTTGGCCTCTGTTCTTGTTACTAGGTTTATTACTTTTGAATTTCTTTTCAGCCATAATATATGCAGTAGAGAAACAACTTGAACTACTGAACTAGTTTCAAGGTTGATGACTGATGCAAGTATGTGTGTTTCTAGACTAATCTGAATGTGCACTACGCCATTTATCAATTGAATTTCAACTATAGATTTGGCATTCGAGTCTAGGAAGAGTGAAACACCATAGCGATAGGTAAACATAATTTCTTCTACTCTATGAAATGTGATGTTGCACTGTATTGGCTGCATAATTGGATTGCAGTTATAGTTATTCAAATTTCTTTCTCAAAATCAAGTAATATGATGACACTGCTTTTATCCTCGACTTTGGGTTGCTTTTAGGAAACAATATGATCTTGCTAATATTGGAGGAGTAGATTTGATGAGGAGGCAGGAAAGGAGCTACTTGAGGTGAGTGCACATATTTGTGGCTTATTGTTGTTGTTATTTTTTCTTTTCATTACTATTATCATTATTACTGCTCCACATTATTTTTGGTGACAGATAAGATAGTATGTTGGAGGAAAGTTTGCTTGTAATGAAAGTCATCTCTCATGTGCAGATATTAAATATGCTTTGCTGATGGGTTGAGGATCCTAATTCAGAGGCCTTCAAATTGCATTTGCCAAGAATCTATGATTATATCTGGGTTGCTGAAGATGGCATGAAAATGCAGGTTGAACAATAGTGTAATTGATCCTGATTTGTTCATATAAGACTAGTATATTTATTGCACTTTCTATCACTTTTTGTTTCCTTAAAACTCTTTCACGAACTTGTTACTTAAGGGATATAATGACAGCCAATCATGGGACACTGCATTTGTTGTCCAAGCAATCATAGAAGAACTATCATCATATCTGGCTAGCAAATTTTGTAGCCGGAGGTGAACGATGTTCGGCCTTCCAGGTTGGTGAAGCAAGCCTTTCTTTGATTCTAATTATTATCCATATTTTATATATACTACTGATATTGTGATGAATTGCCATGTAGTTTAGTTCTTAATGTAGTTTCTTGCTCTAGTAATTTGAGTTATTTCTCTGAAAGCACTTGATTATTAGCTAATTTACCTGTAAGTAATCTTATTATTGTTGAATTGTAATATGCTCTTGGGCTTTATGGCTTACTACTCTACCTCTTTTTGGTTTATTGTATACTAAGAGTATATGTATGTCTGTGAATTGTGATTTCTTGCTTTGGTTGATCCCTTATAGAGCTAAGTGCTCAAACACCCCAAGTAGAGGCTTCCTTTGACTCATATGCATATATAACCCACCCAAATCACTCTCAGATAGATTTAATCCTTCTCTGCATATACATAATTTCTATCATCATGGAAACTTATTGTAACTTTTTATTCTGAATTTCTCTGTCATTTATTTGCAAGTTGGTGGGGGCTTGTAGAGAAATCCTGGGGCATTTCACAGAAGTATTCCCACGTGCTTCCATTTTACTCGAATTTTGATCAGGTATCGACTATGAAAATAAAGTATTTTATTTGATACATTGCTTATCAAATTTTGATCAGGTATCAGCTCAGTTTATGTCAGCATGCTTCATAGTTTTGAATGTAGCGCTAATTCTAGTGAAATATCAAACTTTGAGATTTTGCATAACAACTCAATAAATGCATGGGATGGTCTTGTTAAGTTGCACCATTCTGTTATGCAGAAGAAGCTGCAATTGCAATTGCAGAAGGAGAAGATAGGAGATGATGAAACTCACTTATGTACTTCATTCTCAACTTAGTAATTAGCACTATTGTGATAATAATGCATACTGTATTGATCTTTATAAAATTTTCTGAGCCATTTGTGGTTAATGATTGTTCAGATCAAACTTCTAGCAACAATATATATATATATATATATATATATATATATATATATATATATATATATATATATATATATATATATATATATATATATATATATATATATATATATATTCATTTCACTACAGAGGGGTTTTCTCTGTAGTGAAATGAATTTTTTTTTATATCGTGCACATTTTCCGACCACCACAAGTGGTCGGAAATGTTCGATGTTCTTAGCCTCTACTTTTCCGACCACCAGTGGTCGGAAAATCAGGGACCTGCCTGACTATTCTCTTGGGTATTTTTTCCGATGGCCTTAGAAAAGTGGTCGCTATTTCAGACCTCTTATCCGGTTGTTGGAATTAGCGAGAGTGATTTTTCCGGAAACCTAAATTGGTCGGAAAAGAGGTCGGAACAGGTGTTTCCGACCTAATTAAGGCCATTTCCGACCACTTTCAGGTGGTCGGAAATTGGCAGATTTCCAGCAGTGAACCAGGCGGTCAATGCGTCGACGTGGGTCTTCCTCCGCTAGTGTTCAAGGTACTTTCTAATCATCTGCTTTCTTTGTTCACAGTTTTTTTTTTTATCTTACGGGTGTTTTGGGTTGTTGTTGCTGGTGGGTTGTCATGGTGGTGGGGTGGTGTGTGTTCAGTGCTGGGGGTCAATATTCGGCGTTCAATGGGTGTTTGTATGGTAGGTTGGAGGGGGTTGCGGCGTCTGCATGGGGCCTGTGATAGCCGGCAGTTGATGTTGTTGTGGTTTTTTGGAAGGGGGGGTGGGCGGTGGCGGTTGTGTGGTGTGGGTGTAGACGCCGCCGGCGTGTGGTGTATCAGTAGACGATGGTTTCGTCGTTTGGGTGACCGGAGCGGTGGCGGGGATGTGTCTTGGGGGTTGGGTTTTCAATTAGGGTTTTCTGTTTTTTTATTTATTTTTATTTTTGGTTTTACGTTTTCTGCATAGAATGAAAAATTTAACAAAATTTGTTCTCATATTGCATTGCATTTGGTAGTGCAACGTAACTGCAAAGGTGCTATATGTTAACTGCAACCTATCTACTCCATAAAATCGTTTTTATCGTTACTTTCTATTCATTAAAGGACTAAAATTGTCACAATTTGTATTGTTTCTTTTCTAATGTATTTAAAATTAAAAAAAAAATCAACAAATTAAATATTCTAATACTATACGCATTAAAAAGATTTATTTTTAGTGTGACAAGTTGGTTAATTAAGAAGTTTTTTATAAGAGTTATTGTTACTTTTAGTTTGATGAGATTCTTACTTTTAGTGTGCGAGTAGTTGTAATGGTGTATGCGTGTTTTTGGTTCGGTTTGAGTGGATAGTAAATTGGGACATTGACATTTATGTTACGTTAATTTTGGGGTTAAAACATTCTCATAATTTTTGTGTCGGTATGTGCATGTTTTTGTTTGGGCTTGTGCATATATCTGGTTGGGTCTTTTCTTAAAGTGTTGGTAAAAAACCCTATTGCCGTACAATTATGGTATTTGGCGGTGTGTGCGTTTAGTTCATATGGCGTGTGCGTGTATATGGTTTCGGGTGACTGTGTTGATATGGTGTGTGCGTTGTACTATCATCACGTGTGCGGTTCATGGTAAGGGGGGTTTTTGCATCATTTTTAAAGCAAAAATAGAAGTTAGTTTTTTTTTTTTTTTTAATTTCTTTTTTTAATGTGGATATACTTGTATTGGTGTTTGTTAGTAAGAATTTTAGTTTAAGGAATTATTATGTAATTAATTAGTGCGTTGTTCATTGTGGTGGTATGGTTCGTGCATGCTTGACTGAGTTGGAAATTTTGGAGATTACCAGTTATGTTAAGTTTATTTTAGTTGGAAAACATTCCCATTGTTTGTTTGCCCGTATGTGCATGTTTTTGTTTGCGCTTGTGCGAATTGTAGCATGTTATCTTTACAATGTGTATTTCTAGTGTTTAATTAATTAAGAAGGAAAAACCAATTTATGAGGGGTATGGTTGGTTGCATGTTGGGTGTCCGTTCTTTGAAATTACTGAATGTATGGGTAGGATTAGTTGTCTCTGAGTTTTTGTATGTGGGGGGTGTTATTGGTTTTTTGTCGATGTCCTATTTAATATTCGTGTGTGCGTTGCAGTTTCACCGCGTGTGCGATTCATGTTAGGGGGGTTTTGCATCATTTTTAAAGCAAAAAATAGAAGTTAGTTTTTTTTTTTTTTTTTTTTTTTTTTTTTTTTTTTTTTTTTTTTTAATGTGGATATACTTGTATTGGTGTTTTGTAGTAAGAATTTTAGTGTAAGGAATTATTATGTAATTGATTTGTGCATTGTTCATTGTGGTGGTATGGTTCGTGCATGACTGTCTGAGTTGGAAAATTTGGAGATTACCAGTTATGTTAAATTTATTTTGGTTGGAAAACATTATCATTATTTGGTTCAACTTGGTGTTTTCTAATAATCTTAATGTGCTTAGTAATGGGGTTAAGCTGTTATTAATCCTTTAAGTTCTAATGGTGTTCAAAATTTAGGCAGTATTGCCAATCCTGATGTTGAGGAACTGTGTTAGATTCTACTGACCATTAGAATCAAATTATTGGTTTATGTATTTTTCATCTTAAAGTCTTGGGAAAACATTTACAACACATTAACATCTATATAGATCCAGATTGGTGAGAGTTGATATGTCCTTTGATATTAACTGTATAATTCAAACCTGGATCTTAATTGGCAGTGTGTATTGCTCATACTCTTTTATACTATGAAGGATTGTTATGTGTTTTGCTTATTTACTGTTGCTACTGTTTGTCAAATTTGTCAAACCTTTTGTACCTAATATTGGTGCAAATGGTGTTAATGGTACGGCTAATGCATCCTCTCTGTGCTTAACTGCTTCTCATGAGCATCACCATTCTATAGCTGCTAGTTTTGTGGCCATTAAGAATTGCTTTGTTGATTGAGAATTATAATAGATGAAGTTTCTTCTATTAAACACCTTGAATCCATGATAGATGAAATTCCTAAGCTAACTTATGATTGCACTGAGTTCATTGACTCCGCAGTAGAAATTTTGGAGAAGAGAAAAATGAACCAAACACGCCTGCAAATCACAGTACTTTGCTTGACTTGCTTGAAATCCATCAGCATATGGGTACATGTGTTAATATCTCGGTTGTGGTTCTGTTACTGAGAATATACTTTAGACATGCTCGCAATAGCTGTCAATTACACACATTTAAGGTAATATTCTTTATGGTTGAGCCTATTGGTTATTTGAGAGGATGTGGAATACATACCTCTCTGTTGGAAATATATTATTTTTGGAGTGGGGTTACGTTGCTTCAGCTACTTGTAAAAGGTGCGAGAGAATTCATGGCCACGTTGGGTCTCTAGACTCTAGGTGATGTGTCAAGAAGCAGATAACTACTGATATATTAGTTGAGGTGAAGGAATTCAACAGCGCGGCAAGCTTTGAGGTCAGTTTGGTTTTTGCTTTGCTTGTGCAGTATTGTTGATAATCTTAATATGCAACTTGTTATGATTGAGTCATTTTCTGTACTGCAATCTGAAATCAAGTTTGAATGCTTTTATTGAAGTACATAAAAGCACATTACGTGGTGTGGGTGCATGTTAAGCCAATGGTATTAATCTCAAGTCCTCAATCACTAAACGGATGCCCAAAAGACGAATTTATTGCACTAATTATATGATAATAGCACCAGGGCAAATTCCCCAAAATGTAAAAATTGACTTGGGTACTGATTTAAAAGTCAATTGTTATTTGTCCAAATTCAAGTTTATTGGTTGCGCTAATCTATAACATTGTTTCACATGAGTCTTTGACATTGAAATAAATACCAAATTTGAGTATTTACACAAAAGGACTGTTTTTATAATATAGTTTTACCCAGAAGGTAAATTAAGAGCACTAATCTTATCAGTCACCCGTTATCTTGCCTCAAGCCCTCGACTATAGATATCTGATCTAAAAGGATCTATAAACCCTAAGTGCATCCCTGAAGGATATTTGGTGTATGCGGGTCTCATTGTCAATGGTCGTTTTGTACTCCAGTAGTAGTACATGACAAAATTATGCTAAGTGTTTGGTCATTAGGTTATTTTTAATAAGGTCTGGAAGACCCTGAATGTGGATTGATCTTTAAGGTGAGTAATGGCTCATGAATGAAGTTTGCAACTTCTATTTCTAATGTTATGCTACTCTCCAAAAGTCAAAATTGAATCACATCATGCTGGTTTGCCTGAAGCAAACATATTATGAATAATTTTTTTTCACATAGTAATCACTGCTTGAAAATTCTGACCGGCGCAGTTTGAAAATTAAATTCATGAAAAATACTTCTTGAACTCCCTTTGGCATGAAATTTTTTTCTGGAGAACCTAGACTCGTGATATTTTATGTCTGTAAAAATATTTTGTTAAAAATATGCTTTGGTTATTCCAGAAAAATTTGTAAAGTTTTGGCAGTGTGCTGCCAATTATTTTTCTGCCTGGAGCAATGTTGTGAAAAATTTTCAGAAAAAATACTTCCACACCTTGGATTGACATGAAAATTTTTATATACCTTCTAGACTTACTGAACTACATATCTGCCAAATTTTGTGTCAAAATGTATTACCGTTTCCCCCCAGAAAATTCTGCAATCCAGGTCAAAATTCTGAAAATTTTCTGCCGTTTTCAGCTTGTATATCTTGCTATTTTGTGATGTTTTCATGCTGATATGAAACTATGAAATAAAATGAGAGCTTGCTTGGAAAAGTGCTATTTTTGACTCCCCGAAATAGGAATGAATGGGCCCGACAGCGAACATGTGCTCATTATTCTTCGGCGAACGGTACTTCTCTCATTTTTCTAATTTATGAATTAAGAAACAATATCTCTTGTCATGTCATGCCTTGTGTGTACCAAACATGATACTCTTTATTTAATGGATGTGCATGACTCAATTGAGAGTTTGGTGTCCAAGACATAAGGGACAATTATACCACATGTTGCATGTGCTTCTCTTTAATTGACAACATTTA